AGGAAAAATAAAATGTTTTTTAAAAGTTTAAAGCACGGGGTGGGGCGGGGAGAAAAGTGCAACAATGAATGAATGGAATTCCGAAATCTCTGTAGATGTTCATTGAAATGAAAAAAAAAAAAGAATTAAATAAAAAAAGTTTAAAGCACACCCTCCTGGCAATTCCTCAAATGCACACAATTTCTAGATACTTTTAATATGGGTATTTTACATTCTGAAACTAACCAGAGTACCCCTGTTTTGGAATTATCTGAATAAGAAACTTGAACTGGTGCTATGTCAGCTACTTACTGATTCCAATCTCTCCTAAAACTGCATTCTACTTAAAACAGTTAATTGAAGAAAACATAAAATTATCATTTCAAGCAAAGGCTAAATTTAAAAGCAAATGAATAATATAAATAACAAGCGAAATGAAGAAAATTCACTGGAGGGTCAGCTATAAGGCAGCTCGATGGTGCACCACCCCCACTGCCGGTTCTAAATACGGGGAGCTGCAGTGGTGAGAGCACCCGACTGCTAACCTGAAGCTCGCTGGTTTGAACCCACCAGCCGCTCCATGGAGTTTTGCTTCTATAAAGATTTACAGGCTTGGAGACATGATGGAGCAACTCAAAACGCTGTCCCATAGGGTCACCATGAGTCCAAAGAAATGCATTGGTGGTGGGGTTTCGGTTCTAAACGCATGAACCACAAACACACTGTGACTCTCAGGTTGGCTCTGAGCCATCATGGCCTCAGACAGAACTGTGCCACAGTTGTTTGTAAAATTTTTGTTTTTGTTGTGTATCATCAACTCGATCTGATTGGCACAGGGGGAGATTGCCCCTCCTTCTCCAGTGGAGCCTCTGGTAGGTTTGAACTGTGGGCCTTCGGGACTGCAGTGCAGCTTCCTGCCACTAGGACACCAGAGCTCCCTTCCACCATCACTTTTGTGGAATAATTTCTGTAGAGGCCAATCACCGGGCATTTCTCCTAGGGCATCCCGGGTGTGTTCAAACCTCTGACCTTTATTGTACTAGGGAGCACAGAACACGGGCAAAACCAGGGACCCTTGGTGGGAACAATGTTAGCAAGTAAGCTTCAGGAAAAGGTGGGGTGGTGTGGATTGGGTTTGTGGGTTTTTTCTGGGCAAAAGTGTTTTTTAGGTTTTTGGAATTACTTGCAGGAGTTACCAAGTAACCCATAGCTTGCCGACTGTCCTTCTCTATAATTGCTTATCCTTCTCTAGAACTGGGTGGAAAGGGTTTCATTTCTGTGGGTGTGCCCGTAAATGCTAACTTTCCTTCTCTTGGATCCCAGTACTTCTCACTGAACTTTGCCTCTGAAAAGCCAACTGTACTGTCAGCTTAGTCTTCATGTGATTCTCAACACGACAAGTGGAGCTGGTAAGGTCTCTACCTGAGAGGATGAACTTCTCCAGCTCTGTCTCCATCTCCGGGAGGAGCTGAGTGGATTCATCCTGGTTCTCGTCGTCTAAGGCCCCGTCTTCATCTGCTGATACTGGTGCCTTGATGTTCTTACAGAGCAAGGCAAGTCTCTGCCTTTCCTCAGCTTGGACCAGTCGCCTGGAAAAGAAGGTGAACAAGTTTAGGAGCCGTCGTGGAAAAGCATCGCCTCTTCACCACGTGACCTTTTGACTGGAAAGGAGTCACTTATACAAGGTGGTAGGTGGGGAAGAGAAGCAGAAACACATGTTTACACCCAGATAATTGCACTTTCTCAAAAGTCTACATGGCAGCCAAAGGAGAAGTGACTTCCACAATCTCCAACAACAGACAAGGAGAGGCACTTGTCTCAAGGTCAAGGTCAAGATCTAAGGGATTGGCAAAACCTGCAAATATACATATATTAAAAGAGAATATCTTACTATGGCTTCAGGAGCTCTGACAGCACTCCCCGAGAGAAAGGTGGGCAGTCTCGTCCCTGCAATTTTACAGCCTCAGAAAATCGGCTGGAGGGAGGGTCAGCCAGGAGTTGGTTCTAGATCGACAGCGATGAGTTTCCGAGTGAGTTAACTTTGTTGTTGTTGTTGTTGTTGTTTGTTTTTTTCTGGAACACTTCTTGCTGATCTTCTCTGAATC